CCTTGTTAATTTTTGCAAGTGGAACAAAGAGAAATTACAGTTTCTGACCACTCCTGGTTACCTTTCAGGACCCTTCTAGACCTGAAAGTTTTCAAACCAAAATACCTACAAAGGAATTTCACTTTGCTTTTTGACATGGACACCCAGATTGTAATATTCCAATGGATTGATGAGCAGCTTTGTTCCCAACTTCACAGCACTCTAGCGTAGGTCCTTTGGGATAGCATTATCAAGTGGGGTACCTCAGCCATGACAGCCTTGGCAAATGCTATGAACCACCTGGAACACATCATCTTGAACATACACTGCTTGATCTGTATACACAATACATACATGTACACACTGCTTGTTAGGCTATACATGATGTATACATTGTACACCATACACCAGTGCAGCTAGCACACACGCCTTCGAGCAAACATTCGTAGCATGGGCATTCACAGTGACAAGGTTTGTGGATTGTAGAGGACTGATGAGTGTTCAGAAATTCGGGAAGATCCATTCATGGTTTGTCATAAGTTCTGCTCGGTTAAGAAATGCTTAGACCAATTTATGTGGAGTCAAACTTGTAATGGCTCTTTTGAATTTATGGGGCCATGCACATTACCTAGCAGACATTTTTTTATGGGCCCACCAGTATTTTGGGTGGTCATTGGCTCCAGGACCCCTGTTAATTTTGAGCCCTACCCAGGAGGAATCCTCCATGGTCCACACTCCAGTGACTAGGAACTGGTGAGTGATAATGAATCTCATGTTCTACTAGAATATAAGATGGGCAAACAGAATGGGAAAAAAGGAAGGTTACACATGAAGAGTGTCTGGAACTTCTTGCAAGAGAAGGGCAAATCCATGAGTAATGTAGGAGTGAAGATATGGCAGGATGGTAGAGAGAGGAACGAGGCTGGAGAAGAAGAGAACAAGATGAGGAAGATGAAGAGAGGACTGTAGAAGGCTGGCCAGAGGAAATTATGGTTGAGCTGGCCAATAGGGTGCCCCAACAACTACCCCAAATGAGCAAGAGAACAAGAAGACAAATAGAGATAAGCATAGAGAAACCAGATGAACTAGTCTTGACTGAATGCACTATAGTCAGAGCCAATGGATATTAAACAAAAGACCAGGAAAAGGGGAAGCTTGATGCTGTGTTAAGTGGCAAAGGCAATGATGAGAGAGGTGCACAGATAAGAGCAAAGCCACTGGAAAACCTGAGTATTGAGGGACCACTCCCCAAGAAAAAAATAATGTTGGGTCTTGAAAGACAAACTGTGAAATGATTCAGGGTACTCGGAATATAACAAGTCATCAGTCGGACTTGTAAAGAATGGTCCCAGAAGAGGGGGTTGAGGGTGTGGAAACAGAGAGAGCAAGACCAAGAGCCCCCTAGCAACTGATATAATAACTTACAGTTGCATTATCCATATAGATCATTACTAAGCAGTTAAATAAAACAGTAAGCAAGTGATCCAAAGCTCGAATAACCACCAAAATTGATATGAAGGGTCCATCTGTTTAGAAACCATAGAGCTGAAATCACCAGAGTTGAAACTAGTGCTCCATCTGCCAGGAAAGCATCATGAAATAAAAGAGATCTGGATGAGAAAGAGGAACATCTTCACTGGTATTAATTCTGTTGGGACAGTGTGCAGAGAAGTAGAATGATGAAGAAGGGAGGACAAAGGATCCCAAGAGAGGTTCCACTGGTCATGCAGTCCATTACAAATGGAGCATATGAACCATAACTAAGGGGGTAAGGAATTTTGGAGATAACCTCCCGTGCAAGAAGAGAAGTAGAGGGTAAAACAGAGGAAACCAAATATTCCATGTCCCTCAAACACAGAGGAGAAGGCTGGGCCCTGCTGCAATGAACACAGAAGAACACATCCAAAATAATCAGATATGGAATTGGTGTGTGATGAGACTTCTCCAATTTATTAACCAAGCAAGTAAAACAAGTCAGTTTTTTGGCAAAAACAGGAGAAGGTATATCAGTGTCAGAAAAAGGTCTAGACTGCATGAAAGACTCCATTTTTCATGACACATTGAACTGTAACATCCTCAATAGACAAAGACACATTTGATGCCATTTTAGTTGTTAGCCTAGCATGAACAACATCTTGTTATCCCACACCAGGCAAAGTGGAAGTTACTGTCACCTGGGAATTAATAATGCAGAATTAAAAGAACACAAAAATCTTCAGGTGCAGAAATGTTGAAAAATAAAAATTCAAATTTACTATTTCCACAACAGTTAGTGTTTTTATAGCTACTTCCACAAAAAGATCTATATCACAAAAGCTCACAAACAAGAAAATACATTTTTTTTACACACAAGTGCCAAATTAAGAAGTGATGATTAAACAATCAGTACAGAGGTAGCCAGCTGTGCTAGGAGGGTGTGTCACACTCCTATTGGTGCAAGGTTGTCACATGTTCATTTGAATGCAACTGTGCAGCAATATCACATAGAAATATGTGATTTTATGTGGAAATTTATAGGCTCATGGCAAGTAAAAATGTTTGCATATAGAGTGCAGTACTGTATCCAGAAGGCTATATGAGCATATGTTACATATCATATTGGAAGTATTTGTACTTAAGATATGTCTGTGAATTGATCATGTCAGTCTGACAGGTTGGTGTGCAAGGTGATGTTAATGTGAAGAATAAAAGTACACTTGTCCATTGTACAGTTTGCATATTGCTTACATAACTGTTAGAGCCACTGAAATGCATATCTACAGTTTTTTCAGTATCCCTGTATATTGTATCTGGTAATTACTCTCCTCTACCACAACCTGTGCTAGATCAGCGATGTAGGGTAAAATTAAGAGTTAATAATTCACATATCAAATACATAATACCATGTCAATCTGTAAAAAGTCGAGGCTGCACACTTTGATTCAACCCATGCATATAGAGTTAAATCATTCTTTCCTTGGCCCCATTACTTTGCAAAAAAAAATTACCTCATTTTGTTTAATATATTTGAAAGATTTTCTATCTGATTTTTACCTTTCTTAACATGCAAGTTTCATTTGTTAAATGGGTATCTCAACAATAAATTACATAATGCAAACTGACTAAAACATTGTGGTATTTTCAGATGCACAATTTCTCTTAAGAGTAATTGGAAGATAAATGGAGGTTTAATAGTAAATGTTTAGCAACAGTATATCTTATTTATCTGACTTTAGCAAAAAAATAGACTGGATACAGTGTACAACAGCATGAAGCAATTTTTATTAAATACCAAACATAATCAAAAGAAAATAAATGTAATTAAGGCACTTTTACTAGGGGTTTGAGAGCTTTCAATGAAGAAGCAAGTCTCTGTGAATCTATGGAAAATAATCTATAGAGCTGTCGTAGACTGAGAAAACATAGCATTATATTTACAAAACAATAACGCTATTCCTTCAAAAGGTGCATGTACTACCCACAACACTACTGGTTATTTCCATCAAAATATAATAAGAGTTTTAACCTCATGGTATTACTCAACCAGTCAATGGAGAAGACTGCTGTCTATTTTCACAAAGCATACACTACATAATTCTTTCCCACAAGAAGATCATGTGATACCATAGGTAACTAGGATGAAAGGAACTTAGCTACATCTTGAACCAACTTTCCATGTTAAAACTACATACACATGTATGAATGAAAACATTTGAAAATGTTGATGTAAACTAGACTTAAACAAAGAATTTAGAAGGCATATATTATGCTTGAATACAACAACATTAAGTAACTTAGCTAGCAGTGGGTAAAAAACAAGATGTAAACAAGTTACAATATGTAAAACACATGGTATAGAAAACCAACAAAACTATATAGTTTAGATAGTAACAGGTAAAGGATAATATAACAGCAGGAAGAACACCTAACAATGGGTAAATGGTGTATAAAAAGCAATTTAATATAACACAGTGCAGCTAATAAAAGTGTACAAATAAATTGCAAATACATCAAGCAACAGGGTAAAGTCCATTTAAAAGTGAGTAAAGGTAATTATGCTGCTAACAACAGGTAAAGTCATGGTGTAAACAGCCCATAAAACAGGATATGTTGTAGCAAGTAATGACAAAAGATAATTGTTCTGATAGCAACAAGTGAAGGTAATAAAAGTGAAATAACATGATCAGAGTAGACAGAAAGCAGAAAAAGTAGTTATTCTATAAGTAATAGGTAGTATTAATGACATAAACACACCATAAAATAAGGTGAACAGTCATGGTATCCCTCCCAATTCTGAAGGTTGAGAACTATAGTTCTCTATTCTTCAGTTTCTGCACCCCACTTTTCTAATTCAAGTTTTTCACCTCCAATCCATTTCCTAATGTAATCAATCCACACAAGTCTCTTGGCTGCCTCTTCTTCTTTCAATTTTACTCATCAGAATCTCTGCCAATATTCTATCAGATCTAATTACATGTGTAAAGTAATGTATCTTCTGTTACCTACATATATACAACAGTTGCTTTTGTTTTGTCTTTATTTTGGCACATTCCAATACTTCATTAGTTTTTCTTTCTGTGTAGCTGATCTCCATCAACTGATTATAACACCACATTTCAAATGTTTCCACACCATATAGTAGAGCTGGCCATAAATAAAGGTCTCTTCTTCAGTTCTAGTTTGGCATCTCTCCTGATATTGAAGAATGTATTGTTTTTTCGAAATAAGGTGAAGTATACCTAAATATAAGTATATGTTACTGTGCTTTAAGAATAGGAGAAGGTAATGTTGTAAACATATAGCAGCATAAAGAGCAACTAGAAATGAATATAGCTTATTGTGCAGATAATGTTAGAAAATGAAACAGTACAAACAAGCTATATATAAAAAAATGAATGCAAGTAATTTTGTTGCAAAAGAAAAAAAAGGTAAAAAATCATAAAACATATGCAGGATGAGAAAAATATCACTAAGACAGTTGAATGCAAAAGTTACACAAACATGTTTTCACTAATATAAGTCAATTCTGTAATATTACTTACGAGTGGATTTCTTGCTGGATGACAAATTAGGTGTTTGAACTTTTCCCAACATCTTGTCTTTCAAGGCCTACCAAAAATAACAACTATATTATATATAGGAAAAAATTAAAAACTAAAATGATAACTTATATACAATCACTTTGTATGACCTATGTTTCAGGTCCCATGCTACCCTTCAAACAAATACCTTAAATTGTACTCAGTCTGATGGCCATGATTACTTTGTAGTACCTGACACCATAATTTCCAATCTTCTAGGAAGAACAACAAGATCAAGTCACAGACCTCAACTTTTGAGTAACTATCAACTAGCCCTCTACTGTACATGGATGATGGTCTTCTAAGGCAGTGAAGTGGAATGTTTCCAATTATTAAGTAATTTTTTATTTTGTAATGTAAATTTATTATCAATTTAATACATTTTTAAAAATTTCAGATTTGATTTATTTTCTCCTTGATACACAGTATAACAGTAATTTTTGCCTATCTTAGTCAGTGGGGATGACATTAGGCCTGCCATACAAAATTATTTACATGTGCTGCAAAATGTTTGAGACATTAAAAGTGTGCTGTGAGCTGAAAATGTTTGGGAAGCACAGTTCTAAGGCACAAGGTACATGTTTATGGCATCTACTCACTATGTTTTGGAAGTAGCCTATTCATTTATAAAGATATCTCAATAAAAAATAGGTAATTTGATACTAAAAAGGCTAAACTTTTTTCTGATGCAACTATTTATGTACTCCAGTGGTGAAATTTCAATTTAACATTTTTTTAAAGTCTTAACTCAGAAAATGGTGTTAATACATTATTTCTAAAATTCTATATTAACACATTCACAATTTTTTTATAATCATAAAGTCATTTTGAAGCCATATAACTCATGAACATCTGAAACAAACAGATATATAAGACTGCGATTTTATTGGAAAATTTTTGAATCATAAAAAAACATAACTTGTAAAGCAAACAATTCACTGATGTTTCACTTAGTCAAAATAATGTGTTATGCTGTATTAAGAATGATAAAATGATTGTCAATTTCAGGCCCAGATTAAGGACTTTGAGCGCTGAGCAAATTTTGTAGGCAGGCCCTCGGAACTAAACTTGTAAATAAGTCAATTACAGTTCAACACTATTTATTAACTATAATTTGAGCAATACACAAATGCAAGCAATGGGTAGATAATATACCAAATACTAATGTAATATCTATAATAAATATTAAAAAACATTTATGAAAGAACAAGCTGTAAGAACATGTTACTGAAAAAATTACAACAGGTTTATATGAAACATGTAAAATTGCTATTTGACACAGTTGAAAACATTTTCAAATGAGACATCCAGTTTTTATTATTTTTTCTCTTAGTTGGGAGGGGAGGGCCTTGATCTGAAGACAAGAGAATCCCCCCTTTAATCTGGCCCCGGTGTGTTTATATCTCACAAGGATACATTCTTCCACACATTCAAATGAAAGTGTCTTTCAGGATTATGTGATGATCTGACAACTATTAAAAATTCAAGTGCTTTTCTTTTAACACAATGCCAGTCTGATCAGTCAGCTCAAGTATTAAATTTTGGTCAAACAATTTCTTCTTTAGATGGAATACAAAAGTACTAAACATAATTCATTCAATAGTTTACACAGTAAATTTTAAAACTACTTGAAGTAAAATCGTCAAATAATCCTTTCTGTTAACTTCCAAAAATAATTTTGTCTTTAATCTCTAAGAAATGCAGACTGTCTACAAATCTGCAAGTTCACTTTGTTCATTTGTTTGCTCTGGATATTCAAGTAAAGCAAACACACATCTATCTGTCCTTAATTTTGAACTGAGAGACACGAAGGAAATCAGCTAGTCAACACTATCCACAACAATTCTTTGGATACTCTAATAGAGTAAAAGTAAATCATGGACTCACAGTTCAGCTGGCTAACCAGTGAGAGCCATGTATGCCCTCACTTTTTTGAGATTGTGATTAGGATTTTTCATCCAATACTTTGAGTCCCTAAATTTATGTTGGATTTCATAGTTTAAAACAAAATCTTATGAATCATTGATACTTAAGTTACTTTTATAACTATAGATTGATATTGTTTATTTACATTTCTATTTAACTTGCTAAAATAAAAAAGGCTGAAAATTTGAATTCCCCCCTTCCCCCAAATGTTTTCTTTTAATTTTTTGTACACATTTTGATGATCTTTATTATACATGCCTACCCTGAGTTATGTCATACGCTAGAAAGTAGACTGGTAGTGAGTAAACAATACTTAATTTACCTTTTCAATCAAACATTAACAATACAATTAGGTAAAATCCTAATCCTTAGATGACTTTGACAGTCAATTTGATAATATCCTTGGCAATATTGGAATCAACTTCTAAGTACTAGCAGTTGTGGTGGTATCCCAATCACTTGACAAACTCCATAGTGATAGTGCAACTTTCTGAGCTGGAACTCTACAAGGCTGAAATCTGCAGCTTTTTAAATTTCCATACCAACATTATGAGTCCTCATTATAGAGTTAACCAATTACTTGCTGACCAAGGAGATGAAGCAGAGTTGTGGTAGGCTAATGCATACCCTGATTTTCTACCCTTTGTATTAAGTTCAAGATTCAAGACAATGACATTTTCCCAACTTCATAACATCTCTGCACATTTTACTGGAAGCTACATTCTTGTCAAGCTGCTGGTTCAGTATCTCTCTCTCAAGTCTTCTTGAAGTACATCTGGGAAAGTTGTGCAACCATATGGGAGCAGAAAAGGCTCAGAAGCTAGTCGAGACATACAGACTCCTTCAGAATGAGGCTAAGGAATGGTAGTATGATCACTAATGGAATATAATTTTGAATTGTGTGTGAAGTGTAACTTATTCTAGGTATCTGCAAAAAAGTTAGTGTAAATAAACAATATTTTTGGAAATCAGATCTAAATTCATAATTATTTCAGTGACTTATTTAACCAAATGTGCTTGGGGTCAGTTTAATGAACCGATCCTGTATTGGAGAAAAAATGTTGACTATAATTCAGAATTTACTATATATGTATCTATAAAAATATGGCAAGCTTTTAGTAAAATGTACAAGCTTGTTGTACACAAAAAATCAGATGTGTAACAAAGGTATTTTTATTCAAAATATGTTTTTGCACTAATGACATCAATCTGACTCAAAGTCAGAGTACAAGGTAATGTTCATGTGAAGAATAAGGGTACTTTTGGTCATTGCACAGTTGGCATATTGTATTTTCATAACCTCTAAAGCCTCTAACAATTTATCTTTATATCACTGTATCTGGTATTTACTCTCCAACTGTTATGAACTCTCACTATGTCAACCATGTAGGGTAAAATGAATAGTTGATAACTCTGACATCAAATACACAATACTAACTTGAAGGTGCTTATAAAAGTCATGGCATGTGCACTTTTACCTCCAGTCCACTACTGCACACAGGGTTATTTCAGGGTTGCTTGCTCAAGTTCTAATTTTTCTATACTGAAAATGTATTTCTTATAGGCACTTCCCTCCTCTCACAAGATTACTATTCTTGTCCAGTGCTGCTTTCTGTATGCATATTTTTTCTTTACGCATGCCCCAAATCTTCTACTCCTATTAGAATGAAATTATTCCAACACGTCTCTCATAAATCATCATGTGTCACTTCTCCCCCAATAGGAATGTGACACTAGGAATAGGAACTATCACTTTGAGATCTGTCAGAAGACATAAGCAGCAGAGGAAAGTGGGGAGGAAGGGTGGGAAGTATGAGCGAAGGGAAGTACCTATTGGAAATACATTTTCAGTATAGGTAAATTATAACTTCTGATATGGTACTTCCCTCCGCTCACAAGATTAGATAGAATCATTAGTTAAGTGGTGGGACCAGTGCGAGAGAATGAAAGAGCTACCCCCCGAAAGCATCCAAATGAGAGAGAGTCAGAACTGAAGATCTTATGAGGGGAACTGTTACGTGTTATGTCCCCAACTTTGCCCTCTTTTCCAAGAGTGGAGGAATTCATTCTAACACTGAATGAAAAGCCTCTGTCCACCACCACAGTGACTGTAAATGGGGGTGTGGTAAGGATCCCCTACCTCCACTAGCCCTGAGGAATAGTGCTCTGGAAACAGTACAATTGGTGAACCAAGTTCCCTAAATTTTTAAAAGCAAACTGACCTTTATTCACTCCGATGATCAGCAGGGAAGGGCTTTAGCTTTACTCATGATAGTCCATGAGTGGTGGTCCAGCATAGTATGGTAATACCACCTAATGAGCTCCTAGGTGGTCTTATGGAACATCTCATTTCTACAGAGCCTGTTGCAGCATGTAGTAATTATAGTGAAATAGTGGTTGCTAGTGCACAATTGGTTTGATAAAAGCACACTTGTCTAGGCAACACTCGCCACAGAGTGGGATCCTGTGAAAACAAAGTAAGAGACCCTGAAAGATAGAAATAAAAATGCTCACCCCTCTGGATAATCTAGCAGAAATAGTTAAGATAGCTACAGGTGGTAGGCAAAAATCTTCAAATGAAGAGACAACCAGATCAAGCAAATAATATGAGATAAAAGTATTGGGGAGGTTCATTTACCAGTCTGCATAGTGACCTCTAGCTGGCAATTCAACTGGGCTGCCAAGGACATAGAAAAGAGAAACCTAACTAGATGTGACACACAGAAGATACCACACCTTCAAAGAGAGCCCAGAATAAAGGTATAAGTGCAGGCAACAAAACTTTCAAGACCCTCACTGAACATGACCAAGATCGAAATATGATTGGACGTAGAGAGCAGATGAAACAGAGAAAAGATTGACCCATTTTCTTGTCTGACAGAGTGTTTGGGTAAGAATAACTGGGCAGAGGACGTATATAGAAATTGGTCTGTGGACAAACAGATCAAATCACTCCGACCAGTGATGCCATGAAAAATAAACCTCCAGGTAATGGGGATACATGGTATATAAGTCACGTTACAAACAGGTGTAGAGAAGGAACATGTAACCTGAATCTACCTGTTAGGTAACTGGAATAGTCATTTGGAACCAATTACCCAAAATGATGTGAGGAATCTAAAGAATACTAGGGATTCAAAGTATGTAGTTGCGATAATCGAATGGTAGTCGATAAGGCTGCCATAAACAATGGCAATTGTGAAAGATGCAAAAAATCTGTCAAAGATCCCAGCCAAAAACAAATTATGGTTGACACCACTGAAGGAAAAGGGTTCAACTTCCTCTCGGGCTAAGCAGAAACTGAGGCAGATACATGTCAACCTCAGAAATTAAACCCCAATGCCGTGTGAAAGACAGCATAATCTCTATGCCAAAAGCTTGAGCTTCTGGATAGCTGGGTGAACCATATCCAATCATGGCTGCCTCCACAGACCATAGAAGCAGAAACCCGGGTGTAGCCGCCAATCTGGTGCAATCAACAGGATCTGAAAATGTGTTAGAACAAATAATATTTCATACCCTGGGTAACATATGAAATGGAGAGAAGGTTGAGAGTGGTAATCCTGTCCTGTCCAGAAGATGGAAAGCATCTGTTGCCAAGGCCCAAAGATGAAGTACTGAAGACCAAATTGCCAGTAGTTGGGGGATCCAATGAGAGGACAACCCACCAATCAGAGTTGCAAAATGAGAGGCAATCCAATTGAACCTTGCAATGCAACATCTATTCTGTTGGGAGAATCTGTTTGAATTGAGACAATGAATCTGCTACCACAGGTATCACCCATGGAACATGGCAAGCTAGAAGGGTGATAACATAAGACTAGTCCCTGGAAAGGAGGTCCAAAATTTGAAAACAAGGAACCCTAGACCATATGCCTCCTTGATGAGAAATGTAAGACACCACCACAGAATAGTAGAGTTAAGTCTGACAATTTATCCCTTAAGAAGTCTATACCATGAGACCTTGCCTGTTGAAGAGCACAAAGGACAAAAACATTATGTAGGAAATCCTCATTGTCTGTTGCATACACTGTAATTCCTGACTGTTGGTATAGGTACCCCATCCCTGAAGCAAGCATTCATGAAGAGAATGGAACTTTGGATGAGGTGGCAGTAGAGGAACCCAATTTGTAGTAGCATCCTGACTTAACCCCTCGAGATCAAAGAATGGTTCCAACTAAGCAAACTGGAGAAACCAGGAAATGGATGTGTACAATCCCTCGTTGCTTAAAGACCGATAAAATGATCCCTTGTGTTCTCATCACAAAGGCACAAGGGATTTGAGTGATGCCCACATTCCCAGAAGAGAAAGAACCATCCTTACAGCAGGAGAAGGAGAGGTGAGAAAGAGTGTGGCATCCTATTCTATAATGTTGAGCAGGATGGGAGACAGTTGAGCCTGACTGAGAGATGAGATGAAAAATAAAAAATATTCAGACTGATGACATATTGGGTTGTATCTGAAAGTAGAAGCAGGATGTGATGGTCTAACAATTAACGAAATGTTGCCAGCAGTAACCAGTCATCCATGGAATGGTGTGTGCACAGTACGATGGAATGAAGGGGAAGAGAAAACTTGTACGATACAGTAAAATCCATGTTAAGCCTATGTGAGACCAAAGGAAAAAAACCCAGAACAGCAGTACCTGACCCTTGTGCACCACAAATGCTGATAGTGTGGGACTCCACCACTAAAGCAAAGTGCAGATAGAAGCCAACTACAACCAAGTTGGACATCTACAATCCCAGTAAAAAAAATCAACACAGATTGATGAATCAGTAACTTGTGAACCTTGGAGAATCTAGGCACTGATATAGACAAAGATTGATGACTTGACACCAATCTCCAGTCTTCATAGACCCAACAACTAACAGGAATAAAAATTCTAAAGAAATAGCCTGACTCTCTCACTACCCCCAGACCAACCACACTCAGATAACCCTAGAAGTTTGCTGGATAATAGTGGGGAAGATGTGAACTGAATGACAGCTCCTGAAGTAATATAATAATCATTGACACTGCTAATGATCCAACTAAGCAGTGGAAACCTTAGATATAGACAGAATCTATCCTGAGTACCAATGTACTGAGGAGCTGATGTTGGGGATTGGTACTCACAAATAGGAGCGAAACTATAAACCCCTGTATGAGCTGATGAAGTTCAAGACTCCAACAATACCCAGGAGGAATGTAGAAGCTGAAAATTGAAACAACATGCATGCTAACAAGGGATCCAGCTCAACCTCAATGAAACTGGTGATCCTGAGAGTCTTCTTATAAACTGAAGTTGAATTGTATGTTCTCAGACTTACTACATCCCATCAGGGAACATAGACCAATATAGGTGAACTACAAATACCGCCTTAGAACCCCAAAATTCAAGGAGCAGATATTATTTGAGAGTCGGAAAAATGCCTCCACCTGGTGGTTGAAAGAGAAATCACGAACTTCTGACAACATGTTGCATAAGGCCTAACTGTCCCTTCATGTAACTAAGAAGTAAACCTTTCAACATGAACCACAATTTCTCTGTATGGAGAAAAAAAAAAGCTCCCAGAACTTTCAGCCATCAATTAAGTTGCAGACTCAAAAGCAACCTGGAAAAAGCCCAAAACATCACATACTCAAAGAAGCAACAGGAGAAAAACAAATCAAAGGCACCTTATCCCAAAGTGGCCTCCATTTTGTTTTTCACAGGTCAGTGAAAGATCATGGTAAAGTAAGTTGTTTTGTTAGAGCAAAATAACTGTGGGCAACCTGCCATGTCCCCCTACGGAATCGAACCCCAGACCCCAGCGCAATGAATCTATAAACTTACCACTAACCCACAGGGGAGGCTGAAAATCCAACAGATTAAAAAGAAGAAACCCAGAAATTCATAACATAATTGACTTGCCATAATTGGAAGAAAGATATATATATATATATATATTTTAAATTACACTGGCCAACAAGTCATTTTCTTCAGATATAACTATGCATGGGATAGATAGCTCTTGAGAAGCTGATTACAAATCTGTTTTTGGTTTTCCTCAGACACATCAAGTTTTCGTAATGACACTGATCAAGTTTGAAAGGTTACTGCCTTAATTATAACTTAAGTTGTTGTACATTTCTTTTTTCATGAGTGTGTACTGTATAAATTTAACCAAGTGTATGGTGTGTATAACGTTTATGGGAATGAAACTGAAAAATTAATAAACTGTAATGTTAACTAGCCTAATGTGTGATTATTACCTAAATTGTGTTGAAATTAACACCAGTTATATTTCCATAACTAGATGTCCTAGGAGAAAACCAAAAACAGAGTTGTAATCAACATGCAAAATCGGTCTTTGATAAGAGAAAAAAAAAGTTTGATTTTTGTTGACCAGTGTTATCATTATTATTATTATTACAAAATCAATTAGATGACATGATAACATCCCATCCAAAGTATCTTCAAACAATCGTAATACTGGGAAACCCATTAGTGATGCTTTGTCGAGAAAAAGTTATGATATTATCTGAATGAGGTGCTTATATACAGCACCAGGATAGATGGCATATTGATGTAGTGTAGAGTATCAAAAGACAAATATTGCCAAAGGCAATTGAGTAGGGTATAAAAGACTGGAGCAAACGAGAAAAATCAGACTAATGCTTAGATGGGCAAAGAAAAAACCCTTTACAAAATTTGGCAATGTTGTAATAAACATTAAAGTCCAATATAAAAAAGATCATATTTTTTTTAATATAGTAATTTTACTAAAGATTAGTCTGTGAATTTACAAAATGTTTACCTATTCAGTCTGAGTGAAAGGTAATTTTCATGCTAATAATAAAAATTCTTTTCATCTTACAGCTTCATATTTCATTTGCATAACTTCTAGAAGCTCCTAAATGAATATCAAAATTATTTTCCAGTAAAACATTATACTTTATTTTCTCTACCCT